TCTCTTTTTCTCACTTGAGATGATATCTCCTTTAAAAATATAAATACTAATAAATATGCATAAATATTATTTTTAATAATTAAAATTAAAAATATAAGATCTTACCGTGTTCTTCCCAGGATCTCAATCTTAAAGACCTCGCTGCCCTTTTCAAAATCATTTGCCGTTTGTGAGAATCTGCCAAGGCTTGCTGATCGGTGAATTCAATGTCCTCCATGCTCCAACCTTGTTTGATGAATACATGCATTCCACTTTCTTTGACAAACACTGTGTTTCCCCAGTATGATAGAGTACACACCACACAATTCCAGATATTTTCTTCTAGAAATAGAACATCATGACGTAAGAATGTTTCCAGTGTTATATCATAAAGAACTGTATAATCCCCTGCTTTGCAATCCAAAGTGAAACTCCCTCCTATAACTGTTGGAATGCCGTTGACTTCAATATCGAGACTATAATGAGTGGGATATTTTCCATTGAAAAAAAAAGCAAAACATAGAGACATAGCAGGGATCATGTTACGAAACCGGAAAGAAATTGACTCTCCATTGAAACGATGCTCAAACCACTCTGGAATCCTTAATCCTGGCAAGAGAAACACTTTGTTTCCACAATCCTTGTGCAATTCCTGTTAGTCATAATTTATTCATACATTTAGCAACACCTGTATAGTTTCAGTCTATATGAAATATATTAAATATCAAATTAAATACGTAAGAACATAAGAACCTTATTCAGTAACATGCTTCTACACTCGGAAGTCAAGGATGGGCATTCTGTTGCACGCAAAGTTCTTATGTTACGTGAAATCCCTCTAATTTCTTGAAGATTCTCGCAATTATGTAAGACAAGTTTCGTCAAACATTCAGGAAATAGTGTGAGGTCTAAATCTTTCAAGGATGTGCTCTTCCATACACCAAATTCTTGTATGTTGGGTGGAATCCCTTCAATTTCCCGAAAATTCTTGCAAAAATATAAACTAATTTATGTCAAAAAGAGACATTTCTTAATGCATTCAGGAAGAATTGTGAAATCACTAAGGCAATACCTCACATTCCCCAACAATCAATGTTTTAAGTTCTGGCATCATCGAAATGCTCCTTGGTAACTGAAAAACTCCTCCACAAAGCCTCAGCTCTAGTGTTTGAAGTCCAGTGAGGTTTTTAATTGAAGATGGCAGGTCTTTTATGGGAGTGTCACTGATATCAAGCTTTGTTATTTTTCCTATCTTTCCTAATATTTCTGGAAAATTCTCAAGACTAAGACAATGTGAAATCCCGAGTTCTTCAAGTGAGGTCAACTTGAGGGGTGGAAAACTGCTAAACTTCTCGCAACCTTCAGCGTTCAAGAATTTAAGTTTATTCAGGAATCCAACCGATTCGTGCATTTTGATTAAATTGTCACAACATCTAAATGATAATTTTTCTAAATTTGGGACACCAGACATATCAGGTATCTCTCTTATACATTCACAATCATCAAAATTCAAAACTTTCATCTTCTCAAACCTCTGCAACAAGAACAAGAAAAAGAAAAAAAAAAATACAGGAACAAGTGAATTATCTCAGAATGAATATATTGATATAGAAGAACTGGGAAAAGAACTTATTATACTTACCTTATTTGACATGGGCAAATCAATTGACACTAAGGGACTTTGGGGTAACTCCAATATCACAAGATTCTTTGGATTAAAATCGGATGGTAAAGATGTTGAAGGATATCCCCTCCATTCCAGTACTCTCAAACTATTTGGAAGATGTTTGGGACCTTCAGAAAAATGAACACTTCTTATAATAAGTGTTTTGAGGTTTTTCATATCCTTGAAGCTGTTTCCATCCCATTCTACTACTTCATATTCGGGGAAGTCCAGAATCATGATTTGAATTACACCACTTCCCTTTTAAAACAAAAGCACATGTCAACCACAATACACGTACATATGTTTTTCAATTCAAATATGCATATTAATAGAAGATTACATATCATAAAAGGAAAATAATAGACAGTGAAAGTGAAATAACATTGACAAAACAGAGGCATAAATATACTGTCATCTAGGCATACAACACATAATAATGATAAGAGATAAATAAGGTTAAATTTTAAAATCAAACCATGCATATCAGTCTTACCGTATTTTTTTCAAGAACTTGATGTATATCTTCATGGAACCATAACCTACTACGCTTGCCAGGCTCATCTGGTGCCTCCAGTCGGACAATCTCTTTACCCATGTCCTCTATTAGGTCATGCAATGTTACATCATCATCCACATCAATCTTTATGAGAGATTTTGCCATCAACACTCCAACACCATCATCCGGAAGGAAACCATGATGAGCATGAAGTATTGTTTTGACATATGCCAAAGGATTTCCATTGAAGAAACAAGCAATATCAAGAAATATTTTTTTCTGATTTTCCTTCAAAGAATCAAAACTCACTTTAAGTATGTTTTGGATCTCATCATTAGGAATTATTTCATACTGATCTAACGTAGATTCCCATTCTTCTTTCCTTCTAACAAATAAGTTGGAACCTATTACCTCCAAAGCCAATGGAAGTCCAGAAGCATAACTTACTGCACGGTTTAAAATGTGCACATAATGTGGATCAATTTTTTCAGTTTTAAAAGCATAACAACAGACCAATTCAAGAGCTTCTTTATCATTCAACAAGTCAACCTCATATGTTCTTTTAACTTCATGACTTGTTAGCAAATCCTTGTCCCGAGTTGTAATGATGATTCTGCTACCAGAACCAAACCAATCAGGCTTTCCACAAGTAGCTTGCAATTGCTTTAGCTTGTCAACATCATCAAGAACTAAAAGAATCTTCTTCCGCTGGAGCCTATGCTCTATTGTTGCCATTCCTTCATTGACACCTGCAAACTTAATATCCTTCTCTCCGACTGTTTTCAAAAGAAGGGTCTCTTGGAGATGTTCTAATCCATGTTTAATTGAATTTTCTCTCACATTTTGAAGAAAACATAATCCCTCAAAATATTGAGCAACAGAATTAAAAACTGATAGAGCAAGTGTCGTCTTTCCTACTCCACCAATTCCATGGATCCCTATCATGTGGACCCCATCATTAGATCCGGCATCCATAAGCACCTTTACTTCTTCTACTCGAGACTCCAATCCAACTGGGTAATCCGCAACAGGTAAAGGAACATGCTTAATCTTCTTGGAGACCTCTTTGACAATGCTCTCAATAAACTTGTATTCATATTCATCCCTGTTCAGTCAGAGAAGTTTGTGTGAAGTCAGAATAAAAGTCTCATATCCGTGTCTTGTGTCTTGGTACTTATAATGCAAAGTATTTAATATCAAATGATTTAACATGTTGAAGGCTCACAAGTATTTATTTTCTCTTTATATCCTAACGTTAAATCATTAGACAAATAAAAATAAATTAATAAAAAGGGAAAAGATTAGTGAGGAGGGGTACCCATGTTTGAAATGAAAGCCAGACAAGTTAGCTACTTGATGTAGAGCTGTCCTCCATCTCTGCAATCTCTCCATTTTAGCCCTGAATTTCAATTCATGATTAACCAATGCTTCTCCGTAACTACCCTTCTGATGTCGCACATCAGAAGGATCCACCTTGTAAAAAACTGGCAGAACCAACCGTCCCTCTTCCTTGATGCAGTGAAGGATATGGACAAGTTCATCCAAGCAAAATGAAGAAGATGCATACTTGGTAGAGAGCACAATGATGGCAATCCTGGATTCCTCAATTGCATTGAGAAGTGATGGTGTGATTTTCTCTCCTCTTTGAAGCTCTTCATCATCAAAGAAGGTGTGGATTCCCCTGTCACCAAGAGCCTTGTAGAGATAGCCAGTGAAACCGTGACGAGTATCTACGCCTCTGAAGCTTAGAAACACATCGTATTTGAATCCATAGCTAAAGGAGGAAGAGGACAACAATGATTCTTGCCTTGCCATCATTGATTGCTACCGATTCTGAAACTAGAGAGTGTTTGGAAACACAGTTTGGTAAAGTAAATTGAAGAGAGAAACAGAAGTTGGTCTTTTGTAGACAAAACTCACAAAGCAGCACGCGCGGACTTCACTTATTTGACGTCCTCGAAGTTTGTTTTTTATTTTTATTTTTTTAATGTTAAGAATATAAAATATTACAAACTTGTACTAAACTATAGACACATAGATTTATCTCCTAGTATCGATACAATATGTGGTGGCCCAACCACTATTTAAAAAAATATTACACATAAATCGATGAATCACTGGCACGGGAAACAACTTTTCAACAATGAGTTGTTTTTTCCAAAATATATATAGGATTAATTTTTATTTTATTTGTATGTATAAAAATGTATTTGGCCGATGTGAAGCCATACTAAGAGAACAGAAAAATAAATTGGGTCTAATGCATGTGTTAAAGATAAAATTAAATGCTATAACAAAAGAAACATTAAATCCAATTATATATTCTCATAATCATGGTTTTCTTTTCACACTTCTTTTATATATTCTCATACAATAAACAACAACTGAGTTTTTTTTTTTTTTCCTGAATAATCAAAACTACACATGCACCTGGCATAATATTTTACAATATAAAGTCAATCCTTAGTTAAGTTGATGAAATATTTTGAGAATAAAATTGTTGTCGATCATATATTGGGTCCAACCTCATTCATTCATGATCATGAGTAACGGCATGGAATTTCACCGAATTTTAGGGAATTATTTGATTTTGACGTAATTTTATAAGCCTATTCTCTATCCAAACATAATCATTAACTCAGCGGCGGGTTAAGCTGAAACAATTTATTATAAGTTCATCTACTTTGTGGTGAGACATATTTTTCTTATATATTAATTACTTATTTTAGTTGAAGATAATCATTGTCATATTTAAAATAGCTTGATTCACTTTAGAATCACATTTCCATATTTAAGTGAATTCCAACAACATTTCTTAATAATAATAAATAGCAGTAGTAGTAATAAAAAAGTGCATAAAAAATAATAGTTTAAGCTTAATGTAGTTTACATCAAAAAGGAGAAAAGCACTAAAACAGACAGCACAACATTATCAGATCATCACACCAGAAAAACAGTTACAAAAATTCCCAAAGTTACCCAAAACTGCTTATTTTTCGCCATAAAAGTAAATTCTGGACCTGACAAATATGTAAACCCTTCCTTCACTTTAAAATTCCCTACTCGATTCTTTGCACATTGTAACCCTGGTCACCATCTCTCTGCAACCAGAAGTTAGTGGTATATTTGAATAGGGAGAAAGATAGGAATCTAAACATGAAGAAAAATAATAGTGAAATAGATTTTAGCACTTCCTCAGCAGTAAAAGTGAGAGCCACCTTGATCCCTCCACAATATTCTTGGTCCTTCCAAACATTGAAAGCAGTCTCGAGAAGGCTACCCTCTTCAAACACTGCACCTAAAGGAATACTGCAGATAGAAATGAATGCATATTTAGTGTGCCAAAAGTGTAAATGCTGATGAAAAAATATAAGGCCTTTTCTTCTTGTTCATTTCTATCACAACAAGACGACCTTGCCTAGGCTAAGAATGGATCAATTATTAAATCTTGGAAAAGGACAAAGGAGGGCACAGGTCTAAGAAGAGAACCATCAACATTAACATTTCAATAGCTTCACAGTTACCCAAGTTTACTCTCAAGTCTCAACCGTTAAAAAGCTTCAAAATTCAAATCATAACACCTTATGCTAGAAAATGCTCCATTTCAATCATGAAGAAAATAATTGAACTAGGCAAGTAAAAAATGTTAAAAGTTTTCAATTTTCTGTTCCAATATCCAGACCTGCATGCTGTCTCCTCTCCATATATTCTAAATCAGGCAGCTATAAATGTTCTTTACAAGAAGAAAGAGGAATGATTAGAAAAGTTTACCAAACTGAAAACCGCTGAGGCCACCAAGAACTATTTAGTTGCCAGTCACCAAAAAATGAAGCATATATATCTTGTTCTCAAGTTTAAATCAAAATTTTCAAATATTATTTCCTTATATTTCCATACTAATTCATAATCTTATAGAATTCAATTTCTCTTACATTACTTAAACAATTAATTGAAATTATTTATACTTTCTTGTTGAAAAAATTAATATTGCACCACATGATCATTCTAGCCATGGTACTCGTCGAGAAGGAAAATATATAGGGCAACTACATTTGGAAATTGTGAAAGCATACCGAGAAAGAAATGCCACAAATGTATATTTACCATGGAAATTGGGAGCGCTACTTCTCAGTTTTGATACCATTGAATTTGAATGCGAATTCACATAATTGTTCGATGCTGGAGGTGGAAGCAATGAAAGCCACTCTGTGACCTGTCCCAATTGCGGTTCCAATAAAGGCAACAAAGCCAAATTATTTTGAGATGATTCTCCTGAAGCATGACAATCTAGAGTATGAGGATGCAAGCAGCAGAATGGCGTAGTTACAGCAATTCATTAGTGATGGTCAACTTCTTATGATACTAGAATCACCATGCAAGAACCAAAGAACAGAGAAGATAGAGAAATGAAGAATCTGAATATTTCATAAACTGAAAATTAATGAATACGAGCAAGGTAAAGTGTTTTTATACTACTGATTCTAAAACTATCATCTAACTAACTGAAACTGAACGTAACTAACTAGGCAACTAAATAAAAACAGTTAAGTTACAATGGGCTTGGCTTTATTGAGCCCAATATCATTAGTGTCCAGTAACACAACTTACAAATAAAAACTTTGTTCAGATGGAGAGATATTAAATTTATAAGTCTGACTAATCATCCTTGTATGCTGAATATAATGTAAGTTTGAAATATTCATTTAGTAATTTGCTATTATTTTACCAGGAGTCAATATACTACAGTTGTCTTCATATGGAAATGAAGTTAGGTAATATAGGGTGAGGTACTGTCAAGAGACTGAAAACTTTTGTGGAATTGACATTGTAATTGACCTTGCTTGTTTGTTCGAATAGTAATTTTGGCAAAATAAATAAATAAATAAACAAATATGAATCTGAATCTTAATATGCATCTCATGGTTAGAAAATCCAATCTCTTCATAAGTAAATACCCCCCAAATTGTTTACCTTCTTCCCTGGCAGCACCAGTAGCAAAGTTTGACACTGCTGAATTCAAAGCCACTTTTGAAGGTGCAGGACAACAAGGTTCCCAGGCTTCATTGTCCAAGTCCACATTTAACACACCTATTTTCCTCTTTCTTGACACAATTTCACAGCCTGTTGAGATGATAAAGTTGAGTAACTTTTTCTTAATTAATAAGCCAAAATAACTTATAAACAAACACGTTGAATCGAAATTTACAAATATTATTTTGTTATATTTCCATACTAATACATAATCTTATAGATTTCAATTTCTCTTACATTACTTAATTAATTGAAATTATTTAGACTTTCTTCTAGAAAAGATTAATAATGAACCAAATGAGCATTATTCTAGCCCTGGTACCCGTAATATATAGGGCAAGTAAATTCGAAAATAGTGAAAGCATACTGAGAAAGAAATGCCACAAATGAATTTAACTTGGAAATTGAGAGTGCTACTTCTCAGCATCGGTGCCATTGAATTTGAATGCCAATTAACATTATATTTTGATGCTGGAGGTGGCAGCAACTAGGTTATCAATATCGCGATTTTACTCTTTATTTTTTTATGCATTTTGCTGTATCTTTATTTTCCATTTTACTCTCCACCATTCTCTCTTCTTACTTCTTTTTATTTTTATTTTTTCTAAATCCTTCTTTTATATTTTGAGAGAATTTTCAATTATCATTTTTTTCTTTTATAAATTATTTTTAAATCAGGGAAAAATGTTTGTCCTCTTAAAAAATGGTTATTTTAGTTAAAACAAATATTTCTTATTTAAAAATTAAATTAAAAAAAAAAAAACTCTCACTTTTCCCCCATGATTTTTTATTGTGTATCTCTTTCTCTCACTTAAAATGACATAATTTTATCTCCTTTAAAAATATAAATACTAATAAAAATGCATAAATGTTATTTTTAATAATTAAAATTAAAAATATAAGATCTTACCGTGTTCTTCCCAGGATCTCAATCTTAAAGACCTCGCTGCCCTTTTCAAAATCATTTGCCGTGTCTGAGAATCTGCCAAGCCTTGCTGATCGGTGAATTCAATGTCCTCCATGCTCCTTCCTTGTTTGAATACATGGATTCCACTTTCTCTGAGAAACCCTCCGTCTCTATTGCATGATAGAGTACACTTCACATAATTCCAGATATTTTCTTCTAGAAATAGAACATCATGACGTAAGAATGTTTCCGGTTTTATATCATAAAGAACTGTATAATCCCCTTCTTCGCAATAAAAATTGAAATCCTCTTTTATAACTTTTGGAATGCCGTTGACTTCAATATCAAGACTATAATAAGTGGGATATTGTCCATTGAAAAGAAAAGCAAAAGATACAGATATAGAAGGGATCATGTTACGAAACCGGAAAGAAATTGACTCTTCAACGAGACGATGCTCAAACCACTCTGGAATGCTTGATCCTGGCAAGAAAAACACTTTGTCTCCACCCTCCTCGTGCAATTCCTGTTAGTCATAATTTATTGATACATTGATTTAGCAACACCTGTATAGTTTCAGTCTATATGAGATATATGAAATATCAAATTAAATACGTAAGAAAAACAAGAACCTGATTCAGTAACATGCTTGTACACTCGGAAGTCAAGGATGTGCATTCTCTTGCATTTAAAATTCTTATGTTGGGTGAAATCCCTCTGATTTCTTGAAGATTCTCGCAATTATGTAAGACAAGTTTCGTCAAACATTCGGGAAATAGTGTGAGGTCTAAATCTTTCAAGGATGTGCACTTCCATACAACGAATTCTTTTAAGTTGGGTGGAATCCCTTCAATTTCCCGAAAATTCTTGCAAAAATATAAACTAATTTCTGTCAAAAAGAGACATTTCTTGATGCATTCAGGAAGAATTGTGAAATCACTAAGGCAATACCTCACAGTTCATAACAATCAATAGATTAAGTTCTGGCATCATCGAAATGCTCCTTGGTAACCGAACAAATCCTCCACAAAGATTCAGCACTAGTTCTTGAAGCCGAGTGAGGTTTTCAATTGAAAATGGCAGTTCTTTTATGAGAGTGTTAGTGATATCAAGCTGTGTTATTTTTTCCATCTTTCCTAATATTTCTGGAAAATTCTCAAGACTAGGACAAAATGAAAGATTAAGTTCTTCAAGTGAGGGCAACTCGATGGGTGGAAAACTGCTAAACTTCTTGCAACCACTAGCGTTCAAGATTTTGAGTTTATTCAGGAATCCAACCGATTCGTGAATTTTGATTAAATTGTCACAATGTCCAAATGATAATTTTTCTAAATTTGGGACACCAGACACATCAGGTATTTTTGTTATACATTGACAACCATCAAACTTCAAAACTTTCATACTATCAAACTTCCTCTGCAACAAGAAAAAAAAAAAAGAAAAAAAAATACAGGAAACAAATGAATTATCTCATAATGAATATATCGATATAGAAGAACAGGGGAAAGAACTTATTATACTTACCTTCTTTGACATGAGTGAATCAATTGACAGTAAGGGACTTTGGGGTAACTCCAGTATCGCAAGATTCTTTTGATTAAAATCGGATGGTAAAGATGTTGAAGGATATCCCCACCATTCCAGTACTCTCAAACTATTTGGAAGATGTTTGGGACCTTCAAAAAAACCAGCATTTCTTATAATAAGTGTTTTGAGTTTTTTCATATCCTTGAAGCCGTTTCCATCCCATTCTACTACTTTAAATTCAGGGAAGTCCAGAATCATGATTTGAATTACACCACTTTCCTTTTAAAACAAAAGCACATGTCAACCACAATACACGTACATATGTTTTTCAATGCAAATATGCATATTAAAAGAAGATTACATATCATAAAAGGAAAATAATAGAAAGTGAAATAACATTGACAAAACAAAGGCATAAATATACTGTCATCTAGGCGTCCAACACATAATAATGATAAAGAGATAAATAAAGGTTAAATTTTAAAATCAAACCATGCATATCAGTCTTACCGTATTTTCTTCAAGAACTTGAAGTATATCTTCGTGGAACCATAACCTACTACGCTTGCTAGGCTCATTTGGTGCTTCCAGTCGGACAATCTCTTTACCCATGTCCTCTATCAGGTCATGCAATGTTACATGATCATACGCATCAATCTTTATGAGAGATTTTGCAATCAACACTCCAATACCATCATCCGGAAGGAAACCATGATGAGCATGAAGTATTTTTTTGACATATGCCAAAGCATATCCATTGAAGAAACAAGCAATATCAAGAAATATTTTTTTCTGATTTTCCTTCAAAGAATCAAAACTTACTTTAAGTATGTTCTGGATCTCGTCATTAGGAATTATTTCATACTGATCTAACGTAGATTCCCATTCTTCTTTCCTTCTTACAAATAAGTCGGAACCTATTACCTCCAAAGCCAATGGAAGTCCAGAAGCATAAGTTACTGCACGGTTTAAAATGTGCCCATACTGTGGATCAACTTTTTCAGTTTTAAAAGCATAACAACAGAGCAATTCAAGAGCTTCTTTATTATTCAACAAATCAACCTCATATGTTCTTTTAACCTCATGACTTGTTAGCAAATCCTTGTCCCGAGTTGTAATGATGATTCTGCTACCAGAACCAAACCAATCAGGCTTTCCACAAGTAGCTTGCAATTGCTTTAGCTTGTCAACATCATCAAGAACTAAAAGAATCTTCCTCCGCTTGAGCCTATGCTCTATTGTTGCCATTCCTTCATTGACACCTGCAAACTTAATATCCTTCCCGACTGTTTTCAAAAGAAGGGTCTCTTGGAGATGAAGTAACCCATGTGTGTTTGAAATTTCTCTCACATTTTGAAGAAAACATAAACCCTCAAAATATTCAGCAACAGAGTTAAAAACTGATAGAGCAAGTGTCGTCTTTCCTACTCCCCCAAATCCATGGATCCCTATCATGTGGACTTCATCAGATCCAAAATTGAGAAGAGAGATTACATCTTGCACTTTAGACTCCAATCCAACTGTATAATCCGCAACATGTAAAGGAGCCCGATTAATCTTGTTGGAGACCACTTTAACAATCTTCTCAATAAGCTCATGTTCGTTCCTATTCCTGCCCAATTATTGAATGAAGTCGTACTAAATGAATCATATATGTGTTGAACAGATGAAAATTAAAGAAACATTAAAAAAAACAAAGGAAGATAAAACAGTACCCTTGTTGTTTGAAAGTAAAGCCACACAAGCCAGCCGTTTGACGCAGAGCCTCCCTCCATTTTTGCAACCTGTCATCCTTAAACCACTTTTCAAGAGTAGCGAGTGCTTCTTCATAGCTACCTGTCTGATATCGCACATCAGAAGGGTCAACGTCATAGAAAACTGGCAAAACCGACCGACCCTTTTGCTTGATGCAGTGAAGAATGTGGACAAGTTCATCTAAGGAAAATGAAGAAGAAGCATAGTTGGTAGAGAGCACAATGATGGCAATCCTGGATTCCTCAATAGCCTTGACAAGTGATGGTGTGATTTCCTCTCCTTTTTGAAGCTCTTCATTATCAATAAAGGTGTGGATTCCCCTGTCATCAAGAGCTTTGTAGAGATTGGCAGTGAAACCGTGACGAGTATCTACGCCTCTGAAGTTTAAAAACACATCATAGCTAAAGGAGGAAGAGGACAACAATGATTCTTGCCTTGCCATCATTGATTGCTCACGATTCACGATTCTGAAACTAGAGAGAGTTTGGAAAACCCAGTTTGGTAAAGTAAATTGAACACAGAAACAAATGCTGGTCTTTTTTTTTTTTTTTTTTTGATAACAACAAATGCCGGTCTTTTGTAGACATAACAAAAGTCACAAAACATATGACTTGACTTGACTTGACTTCTTTGCCCCTTCCACGAAGTTTCTTTTTTCATATTTTGTAGATGGGCTTTTTTTAGCCAAAAATTACTTAAAAAACAAAAACACTTATACTAAAATCTCCGTTTAAACAGTTTTAAGTAATTTTTATAAAAAATACTTTTAAAATAAATAAGATATAAAAGGAATTTTTTTAACAAGCCAATCCAAATTGGAAATAACCAATGTTTGATTAGTTGGATGTGACGTAGTGAAATTAACCAATGCTTGGATTAGTTGAATGTGACATAATCATGGTTTTTTATATACGTCATTTTGTTTGTTTGTTTATTTTATGGGATAGATTAATCATGTTTAGATTATAATAGTTTGCATAAAAGCCATTGTTTTGTCTACCGAAAAAGAAAAGAAAAGAAAAAGCCATTGTGTTACTGTTAGGGCATCTGGATATGTGTCTAGTTCTAATATCCACCTTTTCTTAATTTGTGACTCACTCCCAAGTCTAACTTTGTCCCGAACTCAACTTTTTTTTTTTTAGACCACAACTTGACCGTTGTTTGCAATTCAAACAAGTAGTGTGGATGATATTTTGGACAGAGGTAGAGGGCTATTAAAACATGTCTTTCATTTTTATAAGAATTTTGAAAGAGGGAATAATATAGACTAGAGATGGGCACGATCCGGTTAAGTTTTATATTACAAATAAAAGAAAAAAGTGATTTGGTCTAACTTCTTCTTCCACACAAAAAAGAAATTCCAAGCATCATTTGGAGAACCGAATCGGTTTTGAAAAAATAATTCGATTCTTGAACCAGTTTGAAGAAAATGATTCAATTATTGACCCAAATAAAAAATATGATTCTTTTCGTACGGTTCATAATTCAATTCGAATCATTTATACTCAATAAAAGGGGTAGACAAATTTATTTTGGCAATAACCCAATCACAGTTAAAGAATTCTTTATGAGGTCTTTCGGTTAGGCAAGCAAATGAGGCCCAACAATAGAAGTAGGACAAAATTTCAACTTCTTGGGATAAAATTAACTTATAATCATTTAATAACAGGTCGTTAACATTCCTTAGTAATAAATAATTAGGGATGTCATATCCTTTCCTTAGTAGACAGACTAAATTAGGGGAGGTTGAATTAATTTACCCTTCATTATTTAATTAAAAATGACACTTTTGCATGTGGTAACAAGCTAGTTAATCTGCTATATTTTGTTGAACTTCATAAAAACTGTGTACCAAATTAAGATATAACTGTACAAACCATGACCCCAATGATTAATCTGATAGTGAGACTCAAGAATTAACACAACTTAGACGTTTCTTCCGATATCTATTAGAGAATAATATAAACCATTAAAATGACCCTCACCCAACACCTTAAGGTTTTGGGTTGAAGTGGTTCTTTACAGTATCTCCATGCAACTTGAATCTGGATTGCTGCAAGGGATCTCCAATAAGGTGATTCATACCTAACAACATAACACAATTATCAAAACCATTGTGTCAATCATGGATTTGAAAACATAAATTGAGCTTTCTACCGGTGAAAAATCACAGACTTGTAACTTGTTACTGGTTACATTATGACATATAAATATGTGCATCTATTATTACTGGTTTTTTTATTCTCATTTTGGTAAGTCATAAAATGGTCAAGATTATTAGGCTGAAGCATAAATCAAGATACATGACAAGGGAAATGACCTTAAGGCTCCTTGAACACGAGGACTCCTCAAGAATCTTGTTAATAGGATTGTGACTTCTTCAAGTTCTGCAGCACAGAGTGAAAATGCCTCCACATTTGTTAAGCACCTTACGTTCCTATTGCTAACCAACTTCTGTCCTGGGAGCCTTATTTTTCTACCATCTGCAAAGTGAGATCAAATTGATGAACCATGCTGTTTCTTATTTTGTAGAGGCCAAGTTGCTGATTATTGCAACTCTATAAGATCTCTATTATTTAACATCATCCATCTTTGTCATTGCATCAAGTATTGTTGTTATACCTGTGCTTATAGAAGAATATTCAAGATACCATGTCAGAAGTTCTTCACCACAAACATCTCCTTCGGCTAAGGGAACTCTAATTCCATCTTCTCCAACACTCTCCAATTTACCACGCACAATGAATACCATCTTCTGTACTAGACAACCCTGGCACAAAATTCACTTCCTTTGATGTATGTCTTTTGTTTGAGTCTCTCACAAATAGCATCTAAGATAGGCTGATCCATCAGGGCGAAAATTCGAACCTGTAGATAATTTAGATCCTCAGATTATTGACACAAATTGCTACAAAGTATAATACAAATTTCAATACTGTTTGACACAATTTGGCTTTTGATATATCGTGGTTTTAGTTTCATGATGAAGATGCATAAAGCTTTGCTTTCACAATGATTTTCACATTTAAACTTCTATTTAATTCTAGCAGGTTACAAGTAGAGACACCTAAGTAAAACAGAATTTTAAATGAATCAAGGTGGCTGAGATTGTGAAGTTCACCTAACATCTAAACCACATAATATGATCCACTTAAAGAGTAAGAATGATAAATTGGTGTTATTATAACTAGTCATTTATGCCATAGATATTATAGTGCATACTTTCTTAACAAATTTGAAAAGATGACGTCTTATGTCGCTCTGCAGATCTTCAGGCAAATTCTCCATAAGCATTTCTTCATTAACTCCCCTTGTTGCAGCCCAAGTATACCATTCAGCCTGTCTTACTCTCCTGCATGACAGACAAATGATCCATTACTTCATTTGACATAATTCCAAAAATACAGAACTTGTTTTACATGCAGTACTGTTTTGTTTTACTCTCCTGCATGTCAAAAATACCCAGTTGTTTCGAAATGATCGCCAGACAAGTTAGCTACCTGCTGCAGTGCCGTCTTCCATTTCTGCAACCTCTTCATGTTATCCTCGAACGTCTCTTTGTTAGCCCTGAACTTCACTTCCTGATTATCCAATGCTTCTCTATAACTACCCCTCTGATGTCGCACATCAGAAGGATCCACCTTGTAAAAAATTGGCAGAACCAGCCGACCATTTTGCTTGATGCCGTGAAGGATATGGACAAGTTCGTCCAAGCAAAATGAAGAAGAAGCATAGTTTGTAGAGAGCACAATGATGGCAATCCTGGATTCCTCAATAGCCTTGACAAGTGATGGTGTGATTTCCTCTCCTCTTTCAAGCTCTTCATCATCAATGAAGGTGTGGATTCCCCTGCTACAAAGAGCTTTGTAGAGATTGCCAGTGAAACCGTGACGAGCATCTACGCCTCTGAAGCTTAGAAACACATCGTATTCCCATCCATAGCTAAAGGAGGAAGAGGAAAACAATGATTCTTGCCTTGCCATGATTGATTGCTACCGATTCTGAAACTAGAGAGTGTTTGGAAACACAGTTTGGTAAAGTAAATTGAATACACAAACAAAAGTTGGTCTTTTGAAGACAAAACTCACAAAGCAGCACGCGCGGACTTGACTTATTTGACGTCCTCGAAGTTTGTTTTTTATTTTTATTTTTTTAATGTTAAGAATATAAAATATTACAAACTTGTACTAAACTATAGACACATATTTATCTCCTAGCATCGATACAATATGTGGTGGCCCAACCACTATTTAAAAAATAACTATTACACATAAATCGATGAATCACTGGCACGGGAAACAACTTTTCAACAATGAGTTGTTTTTCCCAAAATATATATAGGATTCATTTTTATTTTATTTGTATATATAAAAATGGGGAATAGATATATTGACAAAATAAATAGTTTACAAATGTTTACAAACAATTAATAACCGTTAGATTAATTGTTTCGTCGACGGTTCTGATTTAATTTCTCCATTCCACAAATAGCTTCCATTTCACGTCTAACGTCTACCACACTTTCCTTTCCCGCTCTCTTACCCTCTCCGCTCAAGCCTCCAGTAGATTGTCGTCTGCGTCCACGTCACTCCATCCCGACCATCTGCCATCGCCGTCTCAGCCCTCTGTTTGTGACCCACCATCGTTGCGCCAGCCCTTGTGCTCTTTTACTGCCGGAGGCCGACCTTGCTGTCGGCGTTTCCCACCTGCGCGTGGAATGATATATTGAGTCGACCTTGTTGCCGCCATTACAGGACCTGTGAGTTAGGCAATTTGATTGGAGTTTTCATCTGTTAACGTGGGTGATTCGCCATTTTTTTTCTCCTTTGACTTTTTTTCTTTTTTTGGGGTTTATTCTTTTTAAGTTTCGATTGTTGAAGCTGTTTCAAATTTAATAGGAATTTTTTGAAATGCGTTGAAGTTATTATATTTATCTTTCATTTTTTTGTGTAAATTTTTAAATGGGTTGTGGTATTGGGGCTGAATCTGGAAAATTATTTGGAATTTGCCCTTGAGTTTAGATTTTACATAGCCGATTGTCATTTTGGTAATGATAATCTGGTATCAGCTTTACAATTCACTATACTTTGACTATTATCATTGACTCTCTTAACCATAGTCCTTGACACTTGACAGGAAGACATCAAGTTGATGTGCTCTCTTCGCAACAATGTATATCGATTTTCCATTTCATGGGCGAGGATTTTACCTAGTAAGTATTTCACAGTTGACATAATTAGTTCCCATAAGGTTTTAAATTGCAGTTGGTTGTGGTATTGGGGCTGAATCTGGAAAATGAATTGGAATTTGCCCTTGAGTTGACTGTTAGGGATGCAAATGATAAGAGATTGTAGAACACCGAATTCTGTGAACTGATGCAAGTTGACAAATGAGAAATCTCAACTTGCTTAAATCTATAATGACCAATGATATTTAATGCTAGCCTTTTCTGTTTGATTATATGACAAGAGGTTGGGATAACTGGTCCAAGGTTCTAGTTTTGACAAGTTTAGAGTAATTTTCTCTTTACGTGGACTTTAAAAAATAGAAAATATATGTTGCTCTGTGATATCTTATGGGTTCAGTATTAGGTTTTGAATCCTAATGTGGACTTCACGGATTGGTGTGTGTATATTTGGATTTGGCTGCTACAAGAATTTCAATAATTTAGTCTAATTTCAAATGCTTAGACCTTATAGTCTTGAGATTTCATTTAATTTTGTTTGTAAGAATTCTGTGAATTGAATTCATTGACTCCTCCACATTTTATATCTCTTACCCATAATCCCATGAAGTATTTCTTATACATGTTTTCCCTCTTTTTACTGGTCTTTTAGATTTAAAGCTGAAGAATGGACTTCTTTACTAGAGACATAAATGAACTCTATGCTTAAATATCCATTCAAAGAAAGTGCAGGCTGAGCTTCCAAAATCCCAATTCAATCATTGTTATAAGGGCAGCAACTATTAGTATATCATCATTTGGATCATCTTTGGATTTGGCCGATTCAGTTTTGATTCATTTTTTGAAAGTGGAACAACCAGAAAAGATAGCCCAAATCATCAAAAAAAGAACATTCTTCACAGGTATATATTACATTAAGTATATTATTCTGGCCACGACCAAATCATTTTTCGTTACAAGATTTTCTGCTAAAGGTTTTAAAATTATAAATAATATGTTTGGGCCTACTAGATTTTTCATCATTTTATTTATTATAAGGAAAGAGAAATTAACAAATCTTTGTGTAGTTGGAGAGAATCACTAAGATATTTATTTTTAAACATTGTAAAACAGAACAACTTTCAATCATGATGTGGATTACTTTTTCAATCTCCCTGATGTGTATTTAATTTAATTGATATTCAGGATAGTTAATCAAAGCATGAGGCAAAAGGCAATGAGTGGCTGCAAAGAATGACCCAATTGCAAAGTCATAACGCGCAGTTAGCAAAATCCTTCCACTTGTTGCAAAGGTTATTCAACCTCATCCAGGCATGAAATGCAAGTGTCCACCAGCAATATGGAGACAACATACTAAGAAGTTTTCACCATCATGTTTTGCTGCTATCTATGCAGCTGTTCCATTCATAGCAATGTTAAGGAAGACTGTCTTAATGCCTAAAACAGCTATGGCATTTTTTTTTTTTTTGATAAACAGCTATGGCATTTTACTATTGCAGCAGTAGTGTCAGATTCTTCACAATGACTTTGGTTATCTGGGATTTTGTTATTTGTAATCACAATGATTTTAGCTATCAATTTATTGATTTGTTGGATTTAGGAATTCTTTTCCTTTGGGAAGATTTTGATATCTATCAAATTCTGAAATATTATTATTAAAATTTTATTTAATTAACTTACATGACCAAAAAAACTAATTTATTACAAAAGATTTAAAATTAGTACATATTTTTAAAATAAATTTAAGAAAGCTTAAAAAGCTAATTAATTAAAATAATTATCAATACTAGTTTCATACAATTGCAGACTAACTCACGACTAGTTTCATGAAATGTCTCGTAATTTTATGTAACAGACATGAGTACTGAATAAAGTCATTAAGTTTTGCATTTATGAGAGTGAAATAGGTTCCTTTTCTTCAGGTTTTTGTCATAAATTAGAAAGAAGGTAATGAAAGTAAGCTTGATTCTGCAGCAGTAGACACATCATCCACCTTCCTTAATGATAATTCAATATCTACTATAACTTTTTAGTTTCAATTATATTCAAGCTGATTTCTCAAACAATTTACAAGACTTCACCATCAATTGAAAATCAAGCAGTTGTGTTGAACCTAGCTTATCTCTTTGGGACATAGAATTCCAAAACCATGTCAAAGTTGTCATTGCAAGCTTAAAATATAACCCACAATATAAACAGTTGTGTTGAACCTAAACACACTGCATATACAACAAGTTAGAAACTAGCTACTACAGTGCCAATGGCCCGAAGGCAGTTTAGGACATTAGCTTAACACATCACTTGTGGCTTGATAATATGTTGTTGTAGAAAATTAACGCAAGCTCCAAAAGCCCTCTCACCCTTTAGGACATTAGCTTAACACATCACTTATGGCTTGCCAATTGGTGAACATGTTACCTGAACAATGAAGATAATAACATAATAGAGTTAAAGTTGCTAACAAAATTGAGTTGATGTTAAGATTACTTACTTCTTTCTCCCAATTGGTGCGTAATATGACTACAAGAAAACACACCACTTTTACTATAAGTGCTAATACAATTGCCAAAACTAACCCCTGTAATATGAAGAATCAAGACAATTTCAAAAGCATTAGCCCTAGTTGAACACATTTACAATTAGGCAGAACAGGAACTTGATAACACAATGGTTAAATCTTACCCGCCCATTCATATGGAGGATAAAAGCAAACACAACTGCTAAAGGAACTCCCACAAGATAATAAGATCCTAGATTGACAAATGCACCAAGCTTCTGCCAACCACATCGTCTAGATGACGCGTATTCACAATCAAAGAATTAGCTAAGGTAAGTTTACATATGAAGATAAACATAAGGTTCCTCAATAAATGAAATAATGTATTATCTAAGTTATTAATTTTTTGATACTAATAAAATATAAGCAGTACATTTCAGCATGAAAGACTGACCTTTTTGTAGCACTAACTCCAAATGGTATTATCCAAAACATACCAATTGTATTAAGGCTGGTGAGGAGAAAAGTATAGATGATCATTGACAACAACTCAGGAAAATGACATATCAAACGTCCATGTTTCTAAGCTGTAACATGGCAACACAGTAAAACAGTAATTAGAAATTCTGAACATTGGTCATTCAGATGACTAGTCACTAAGAAAAGATATAAGATTTTACAAGGCATTCTATCTGATGGTGTTGCAATAAAATCATGAAGTTGACAACTTGAAATGCAAAACTTAGCAACACAAGGTAGTGGGTATCCAAAAACTGGCACCATCTTTTGATGTAAATCCATCATCCTCTGCCACAGGAAATGATTCTTTTCTCAGCATAGTTGGACTTCTTGATAGCAAAACAGTGAACTTATTTTTGTTTTACTCTATTAAGCTACACTTACATGCAAAGCTTAGCAACACAAAAAGAGACCATATCCATGTCAAAATCAGACTCAAAAATAATGGTTGTCAGATGTACTTGATATTACAAAACACCAGTTCAATGTTGTTTGCTCAACATTGAATGTATTGCATCTATATATTCTTTGCATGTGCGTTTATTATGTCCCCGCTTCTTACAATTGCCACAAATATTAGTATGCTTTGATGCTTCTTCAATCCCGCTACGAATCCTGTGTCCCTGTGAAGTACTTTGTGAGTCCCTTTTCCGCCCTTTCGTTTGTGAAATATTTGGATCCTTCAAGTACATCATAGAAGGCTCTTCATGATGAAAACCCAACAACTGTAAATTAGAATCCCCAAGACCACTACTCTCTTCGCACGCTAGAACTTTTTCTGCTGCTTTATAGAGAGAATCAATACCATCACAAATTAATTTAAAAGCTTCATCTGACTTATATGCAAGGTCATCAAGTTTGGAATATCTAGAGCGTAGATGAAAGCTGCGAAGAAGTCTATCTCCATTTGCGGTACATCTGTCCTTCTCTCCGCTTGGTATCACATTTCCTTCCTTGCTCCAACGCTGCAGAATGAAGTGTTCAGGAATCTGTTCAACATTTTCAATAAAAAAAATAGCAAGCATGTGCCGACATAAGATTCCCATGAACCCATAATAATGGCAAGAACACCTAGCTTCTCTGTTTTCCAATTTCATCTCAACTGTTGCATAATCTTCTACATCTTTCCTATTAAAAACTCGGTACATAACCCACTCACAATCATCCCCAAGTTTCTCCTTAGAAAATCGTAAACTAAGAGAAAGTTGATCGCAAAACTTTAAAAAAATTGCACGGGTATACACTTTAGCAGCATGCTCCTCCAATGGCATATTAAATGTCAAAATCCTTTCTTTGTGCCTAGATTCAAAGTCTTCTTTTTTAAATGACTCGTAGCGAGCATCTATTGCTTGATTATATTTCTCCACAAATTCCTTTAAAGTTGTGCCAGATGTAACAAAACCATCAAAAAATGAATTTATACTTTCGCTACGTTGAGTAGTGTTCATACCAGCAAAGAAAGTGGAATGGTTAAAGATTGGTACCCAAGAGGATCTAATTGTATAAAGTACATTCAACCACTCATTTTCAATAAGACCATACTGAATAAGAAATCTTTGCCATCTATCTTCAAACTCTTGAGTGCTCTTGGAGCTCCAAATACAGTCATTCAAATGCCTTTTAAATGATGCGTGGTCATGGTAGAGATGAGATAACTTTTCTGGAAACTTTTTCATGATATGCCACAAACAAAATCTGTGTTTCGTATTTGGAAAAACTTTGGAGACTGCATTGCTAATCGCCAAGTCCTGTAAATTTAATAACATGAGTAAGTATGCAATCACTAATAAGTAGTCATATTTGAGATAATATACAAAACATAATAACCAATGCAATAAATTGATCATACTTGATCAGTAATTATGGCAACTGGATGTTTTCCATTCATTGCTCGAAGTCCCCAAAAAGCTCATAGGCGTGCCTGGATCTTGCATCAATCCAAAAAAAGCTAACCATACGATCATCATCGTCACACATAATAGAATAAAAAAAACTAGGATTCAGTGATTGTTGTTTAATACAATAAAGTAGCACAACTTGTGCATCCCCGATATCGTATACCCTTCTCCTCACATTTTTCATATGATTATAACAATCTCGACTGTCAAACCCTAAATCATGGCTTTTGAAGATGGTGGCCACCTTTCCAGTAGGCAAACCCGCGTTATTGAATTCTTCTATCAAACATTTTGCAGCATCGGGCATTTTTCTATGTGATCTCAAATATGAAACACTTTTTGGAGTAACCAT